TCAAACACGGAGCAGCACAATTCCTTCCAGGCCCCCGTGGGTCCTTCAGGGGTTGCCTACGCTACCCAGCCTCATTTTCCCAGCAACCATTCAAGCACTAGCGTAAGGGCTCCGGAGGATCATCAACCTCATTACGCGCTGTCCGGAGTAGCCCAGATCATTCAAATAAAAGAGGAAAACGCGGGACCGTACAAGTGGCCCTCCAAAATGCCCTTCCAGCCTGGGCTTGGGGTGGATTTTGAGAGTGTCCCTCCGAATAGGACTATCGGACCTGAAATGAATTTTCTAGTGCCCTCCCTGCCCCTTTCAGCCGGTGCGAGTAGACATAGCGGTATGGGGAAGCTGTGTGGTCCTCACGCCCAAACGCCCCAGACCATGTGTGGACAATATTCGCCCGTCTCTGATGCAGAAGACACCAGCGGCTATTCCGAGTCCGGTTCAGAGTGGGAGGAGAGCACCTTAAGTGCCTTCAGAGGAATCTGAAGAAACCATTCAAGCTCCGCGCGGGGGGTGGGGGAAGGCAAAAGGAAATGTGTGTAAAAGTTAATTTTTAAGCAACTTTTTGTAATCATGTAGTTTTAAAAACGGCGAATTTGTATCTTTTAGAGTGATAAAACTAAGTCTTGTAAGTCACAGGTCCCTTATGAAAAGGGTATTTATTTGTGAGCTCAGGTGTCTGGCAAACAAAACTGCTAACCAATCATCTACCTGGTGTAATTTTAATCAGCCAGACAACCTCCACCTAATCAAAATTATTTTACCCAGGAAAGGGAGACATGGCAAGAATTAAGTCCGTGCTAGTGACTGTGAAACAAGTAGAAAGCAATTTCTTCGTTTCCTTATTTTTAAATAACTTACAGATAAACAACACTTGTTTGGTTTTTTGACTTGTAGCCTAATAGGCAAAGGGGAGTGACTCGCACAACTCCGTATCTTGTTTACACAAAGCCACTGAGAACGCCCCTGGTGAAACTAGCCAAGAGGGAAGCTGGAGGTTACCGTAATCCTAGAACTGGTCCAATTCCCTCTCAACTCTCTTCCTAAAAGTTTCCTTAGCAGCAGCCGTTGAATAACATGTTGCAGAATGCCTGTCTTTCACTGAACCCTCAGAGGTTCCTAAAACTCCTTGCTGCCAGACAGGAGGGAGGGAGGGAGTCACACCCAGGATCACTGGTTTGTGTAATAGATACAGGGATGTACTGAGCCACTGAAAGCTTCTAAGCGACTTCGTAGATCGCTGCACTGTAATTTAATCACAAGGTTTTAGAATTGCACTATTGAGAGCCATATAAGAATATGACTGCCTCGTTTTGTGTAAATATGACTACAGGCAGCTGTGTGTGGGGTAGGGTTAGAAAGGCATAAACAGTGTTGGAGAGAAAGTACCATGTGCAATGTTATCTCCTCAGTGTAATTAAATGAAGCTTAGTCTTCTTAAATGTGTAAGATTTTAGATTTCATAGTTAATATTACACCCAATATCAAATAATTTAGGAGTGTATAGAAGACCCAATATTTCTGGGCGGTTCCCCCCTTTTCCCCCCCCTTAAGATACATACAAGTGTCATTTTGAATACAGTGAAAGTGTGTATAACAGAAATTACCATGATGAATACAAAACTGTTCTCTCGCTTGAGGATGAAATTAAGTGCAATAGTAAAATTTTATTTTACCTATTTATTTTAAGTAAGGTACATGGGGGCTTGTAAAACTACCATTGGATGAAAATACAGCTCCGCTTTTAAAATAACAGACTGATACTCAGTTGACCTAGCAATGAAGATTAAAAAAAAAAAAAAACGAAAACAAAAAAAAACCCACCCCACACTAGCCAGTTTAACTCCTAGTTTATTTATTTTTGCATCTTTATTTAACCTTCTGTAGAAGGATTAGGAAACGCCTGGAACTATGTTTTGGAAAACCTGTGACATTTTTTGAGAAGAAAAATAAATCATTTGTTATACTTGCTTTTCCTTATGTGCCATTTTCTAAATTCCTGAAGGCAGGGATCAACTCCTTCACTATGTTGCATTTCTAGTGTAGAGCAGACTCAGACAAAGGGGAGAGGTACTGGAGTATCCAATCTGCTGCTTCTGTTGCTAAATCAGGTCAAGAAACCTGTTTTGATAAATTGCAGCTCAAGATTAAATTAGAGAGCAGGTTTGAACAATAGTCAACAAAATGTGTTAATTTACCTCTGAGTCATAATTTGATTAGCACAGATGTTGCTGGGGGGTTGGGGTGGGGAGGGAGAATGTAAATCCTAACTGCCAAAGTTGAAACTTTGATTGAGCCAGCAAACTATGTAAATCTAACGTGCCGTACCACCCCATGAATTAGGTTAGATGTTAACCAAAACCACATAAAAATACATCAGAATCTTTCTTCAGTTAGTGTCCTCTTAACGGGGTGGATCGTAAACTTTCTTTGAAAGGCTCTATAAAATTCCTCTTCAGAAGGCTCCAACCTCTTGCGAATACTTAAACACAGATTTAGCTAAATTTTAAGCATCTGAATAGTCCCATTTACTCCAATAGTGCTATTCGCCTGCTTTCATGTGACTATATAATTTTCAGATTTAGTGTCTTGGAACCTAAACTGGGGTTCAACTAATATTGGGAAAATTCCCACAGGTGAAAAGCCAGTGTAAACCGAACCTATGCTTAAAGCAAATTCTAAGTTTAAAATGTTAAACATTAGAATATCTCCAATAGTTAATGAAGATTTCCCACAACAGATCTGTAATAGCAACTAGCTAGGTCAACCAACTGTTCCTGTTACCTCAGATGAGGTGACTGGGAATTTTGTCACCTGTCTTTCCTCCAAACTGGCCTGGGGGAGCTTTTCAAAAGTGAAAGAACTCCAGGATCACATAACATTACTTCTGCTACATTCCCCACCCAAATCATATCTTGGTCTACGGCAGGGGTGGCCAAACTTACTGGCCCTCTGAGCTGCATACACCAATCTTCAGAAGTTTCAGAGCCGGGGCTTGGGACTTCAGCCCTGCAGGAGATGCCTGATGGGGCTTGGGGTTTCAGCCCTGCTGCTGTTGAAGCCCCACACCCTGGCAGGTGCACCCTGTTGGGCTGAAGCCCTGAAACAATGCATGCCCCCCCCCCACTGGGCAGAAGCCCCTACCCCACCAGCCTGCTGCAAGGCAGAGGTACCAAGCTCCCCCTTCAGTCTAATAGGTGGAGAATTGCGGGGGGGGGGGGGGGCCCTCCACTAGCTGCATTCTAATGATAAAAGAGCCACATGTGGCTCATGAGCCACAGTTTGGCCACCCCTGGCCTAGGGTGACTGTGCACAAGGTTCATTTTCGGCTGGAGTGAGGAATAAAGGAAGGGCTAGATTCTCTCTTGCACTCTGTCCCCTTTGCTTTGCCACCACTCTTTTGGCACAAAGAGGCCTTGATGACCCTCTTGTGGGGGAACCCCTAATGACTCTGTTGCCAGTGTAGATAGCTCCTATGGCAATCCCATTCTTGGACTAAGGGGAGGCAGTATTTCTGTGGCATGCTACATTAAAAAAAACCCTGGAGGGCTGATGACCCTTTGGGAACTATTGCTAGGTGGCATAGTTTAGAGGCCCCTGGGTTGCTCTAAAACTACACTGAGGTTGGGGCTAGCATAGAACTAGATAGGGAATCAAGAAGTCACAACTGTCTCTGATGACTCCCTTGCTCCTCTGCTGTGACATGTGGTAGTCCTGCTAAACAGAGAACCTGGGGGGTCTACATTTTTAAGTGACTTGCCAAAGGCTACACATGCAGGTGGTGGCAGAGTTAGTAACACCTCCTGAGAAATCAGTTCTAAGATCCATAATTATCAACTAGACCATGGTGCTGCTTGTGCAACAACTTTAAATCTCTGTACCTAATTAGGCCAAATTAAAATAATAATGCTTACCTTTCTAATGTACTCTGAAATCTACAGCCGGAAAAGCCATGTGTAAATACAGAGCATTATTAGAGATATTTGTTGAGGGGGTTACTAAGGAATTGTTTACATAGGTAATTTGTCTTGGCTGTAGCCATTGATGGCCAGCCGCCAGTGTAGCTGTGCTATGTAAATGATTACAGATTCCTTGGCCAAAGGGACATCTGCGATCATCTGCTCTTTCTGTATAACAGCCCATAGAACTTCCCTGGAATATACTCTGGTTCAAACAGGAATTAGCTTTTAGAAAAACATTCAATCTTGATTTAAAAAAAAAATTGCCAGTTGAGGCTACACAGGTAAAGCTACTATAAACAGCAATTTACAATGGTACAACTTACCCCAGTTTCAAACAGGGGTAAACCACCTGGGTAAAAATTGTGGCTTATAGCATCTACACTAACAGAGATTTTTACTGGCTGTTCATGGCTGGAAACCAGTATGGACCAAGGCCTGAGTTCCATAGTAACATGCTTGTACAGTGTACACTGAATGAGGCAGGTCTCTTTAGGAGCCATTAGTAGTTTGGGCAACAGAGCTAATTCAATTTAGTAACCTTATAACATATGCATTCCATCTATTTGAAATGGTCTTCATTTACTTACCTAGCAGGAGAAAACGAAGGATGTCAAAAAAAATCTGCGGAAATTCCAAAATCAATGAACTTTGTTTAAAATACCAGTAACAATTGCTTAGTGACAATATTATAGTAATATATCACATCATTTAGAAACTCCAGGCACTTAAAGTAATTAAATGAGTAGGTAAGGACATCATTAAACTTATACTTCCCACATGATAAGACTGGTGAATGTTTTATTAAGTACACCTCTACCTCGATATAACGCTGTCCTCGGGAGCCAAAAAAATCTTACCGCATTATAGGTGAAACCGTGTTATATCGAACTTGCTTTGATCCACCGGAGTGCGCAGCCCCGGCTCTCCGGAGCACTGCTTTACTGTGTTATATCCAAATTCGTGTTATATCGGGTCGCGTTATATTGGGGTAGAGGTGTATAAAGAAATGGAAGATTTCTTACCCAATCATTTCTTTCTAGTAGCTTTGTGCAGTGGCAGTATCATAGCTAATGAAGTTATTCTGAGGTGTGATTATTGCTAGTTGAAAACTTTTCCCCTAGAATCCGTAATGAATGGACTAAGCCTTTTTCCTGCAGAATTCTGAGGTTTTGTTGTCAGAGGCTCCAGGAATAAAATCTGTCCCTCCCTTCCTGCCACCAGAAGAGTTCTTCCAAAGCTGCAGAGATACTCAAGATAGTTAAGCACAATATGAACATCATCACGAATGCACTTACCTTTACACAATTTCATCACAGCCTGGAAACCTAAAACATATTCTGGCAATCAATACAACTGCTAGGATAGATCAGATTGAGATGGAATTACTAGAAAGGAAATTGCTCGGCTAGAAATTTTCCATTCTACTATATAGCACATCCCATAGCAAGTGGAATATAACAGTGTATCATGTAAGTGAGGAGGGAAGGAGTAAAGCAGAATTATTAATTTTGTTTACATTAAGGTAGAATAAAAGATATAAATTCCTTCATAAAACACTTTTTAAAGTTAAGCAATTATTTGGTAACCAAATGGATGCCTCCGCAAAAGAAGAGAAACCTCCTTTGTAGAGTTCAATACGTGTATGAATGAATACCATGATCCATGCCCTCCACATTTCCTGTTCATTGTCCCCTAGGAGCCTTGTAGAGTGAGTCTTGATTCCCCTCAGGGAATGACTTCCCAGAAGCACAGTCATATAGTTTAAGGTCAGAAGGGACCACCAGATCATCCAGAGTATTCCAAGTGAAGCAGGATTTAATTGTCTTGGGAAGGGCCATTTTGAGGCTATGAGGCCCTGGTATTTTGGATGGAATGAGAAAAACATGACCAATACGTATATGAAGAGGAGTTGTCAAGCATTTGAACCTGGAACCTCTTGTACATAAAGTGAGAATCAGACTTGTAGACCAAGCAAGCTACTTGGAAGCAACCAAGCTATTTGGTTTCCACCAAGCAGATCTTCTTTACCAATGACAGGTCTAATTCTTGGTCTTTAGATTGTCACTCCATGGTATAGTTCTTCTTGAAAGATATGAGGCTTTTAATCAGGCCTTGAATTAGGGGCTTGCAGAGGCTTGGTGACCCAGTAAATTTTTGATGTGGCTATTTTGTGCTCCCGAATCTAGGCTTTCTTGAAAAAGACTAGCCCTCATGATTGAAGAGATATTTTTCCAAATGTGAACTAAATGTAAACTGAAGCAGTAACGCCTACCTGAGTAGGTCAGAAAGCCTGAAACAATAGTTCTAAGAGCTCTTTCACTTCATTTAATTTTAATTTCATTTAGGTGTTAACTCAGATGTCCAAAGATGACAGTTTAAATGGGAACACTGCTATTTCCTTGCTGGTCAAAGCATGCAAGAAAAAGAGAGAAGTGGTCATATGAAGATCTGGGAAAGACAACTTTTTTGGCATCAGGAGTGGCCTGCACTTGGTAGAGTACCACCACTTAGGGCTGGTCTGAATGCACTTTTTGTACTGATGTAACTATATTGGACTGCAACAATTAAATCAGTACAAAAACTGTGCATAGTCTTTGATATACTTAAATCAGTTGAACCCCCTATTGTAGATGTAGTTATACCAGTTATACCAATATAAAATATTGAAATTTCAGTACATTTACTGAAATAAGCTATATCAATAAGCACTCTTCTATTGCTATTGCTGTTTCCACATTAAAGGTTGCAACTATTTCAATTTCTAACCAATACAGTTAAATTCTGTAGATAAGCCTTACATTTACCCCAGTCTGACCTGTGGTTCCAACAAGTCAGAAGGCAAAAGCAGGGGCCCAGGAAATAATCTGAGCATTACCAATGGATAGCCAATCCTGCAGAGCCCAGCAGGGCATCCAAGTCCCACCAAGGAGAAGTCAAGCAAGGGGATCCAGTAAAGCCCTGCAAGGTACTTGGTAAGGGTGAGCTAAGCCCAAAGAGATCAGCAGGTAATCTGAGTCTCTCCGAGAGGAAGATGAGTCCAGCAGTGGCCACCTAATAATATTTTGAACATCTGCATGATCTAAGTGGTATTTTACTTTGGAGTCTTAAATGGGCAGAACTCAGAAGAATACCACTCCACCTTGGTCAAGTTGATCTCTGTTGCTAATGATGCCTGATTAGCTGCTTACAAAGCTTGGAAAACTGTACAGACTACCCTTAGTCTCATGGACTATGGGATCTTTTGGGCATAAGTCCCCTTCTAAAAGGGTGACTATGTCTTTCATCTTTGGGGCAACTGCTGTACCACCCTTTGGTACCAGCGATGGTTCCTGTAATTTATGAGATTTCCCTGTAGTTTAACTTAACATTTTAGTGTTATTTGCCGTTCCAATACACATCGCATGAGGTCCACTAAGTAAGAGAGTAGGAGAAGGCCAGCTTTTAATTCTGTTTGGAGGACAGATATTTTCCCTTAGTTTTGGGACCTTCTTCCTCTGTTTTGCCTCATCAGCCTTGCAGCTATAGTATAAAAACATGCAAAAGGAAGGAAAGTCTGTGTCTCTGTTGGCCTTGACTGAGCCTGGGTGCTTCTCTGCTGCTGTGTACTCTCCTCTTTAGTGGAGGGCAGAGAGAGCCTAGCAGAGGTACTGAACTGGAGGACCCAGAGGGTTGAAGCCTCAATGCACAGGCAATCCCACAATGGAGAAGAGGGAAAGAGGAAGACGAAGTTGAAATGGGATCATTACTGCCTGAAAATTGAATAAAAATAAAATGTATAAAGCAAACTGGTTGATTTCTTCCAAACTACTAACTTGTTCCACTGCTGCAGGGAGAACAAAGTGGTGGGAAGTGTGGTGGGTCTTGGGGCCAGAGCTCCCAACAACACATGACCACCTCAAAACTCTACAGGGAAAAGGCACTATCATTTCTTAATGATTGTGCAGGAATTCTAGGATGCATATTTCATCACAACACAACAATCCGATCCTACATAAATATTATTCTTACATTAGTGATCTCAAGATTTAAACATGACATCCTTTTGGAAGAGCAATGTACAAAATTCATTTAAGTTCACATTAAATACACATACTGTTCAACCCTCAAATACAAGTGCACATGCATAGTTTTACTATAAAAATTGATATTATACAGTTTTTCCTATTACAATAAATATATTACGCCATCCCACAGCAATTATAGGTAATTCAACAAAAAACCTCAACAACTTTCAATTGGTATTTTCTGTTTAAGAGTATTCTTTGAAAGAACATATTTAGACATCAAAATCAAGATAATATATAAAAACACTGCTGTCACCACTCACAGATAAGATTGTGGTATTGTGATGAAAATATGTCTCTCTTTATATTTGATAAGAGCATCTATATTATGTAGACATTGGCCTATTTGGCAGCCTGATATTTAGTACACTAAAGTCCTGATCCAAGCAGTCCCACTGACATCAGTCAGTACCTAAGTACCTTGATGAAATGGGAAAGACTGAGCACATTGTGGTTAACCCTACTGTCAATTCAAAGAATATGGCTGCTTGGTTCTGGCAGAGGTACACTTTACCAGATGGAAGTAAAGTAATGGGGAAGTAGGGTGGAAAGGGGAAGCATAAAAAAATATTCTAGGGTAAATCCTCACAAAATGTGAAATTTAGGTTTAGATTTGTAGATTTCCATGTGCAACTCATCAGGATTACCACTTAGTAATATTCTGTAATTTCCCTTGTATTTTTTAAAATCTCTTCTAAAACACTCACCTTGCCAAGCAAGCAAAATGCTGCATTTTTATAAATTAATTATGCACATTTTTTCTGTTCAAATGAAATTGGACCTACCTTTATGTGCAAGAAGTTTGCATTTTTGTAAAATATATCAACTCTCATAGGTCAATTTATTTAGAATTAGAAATGTCATTGAGAATAAAAGATTTATGGATTTCTTAATTAACAGAACAACTTTAGCTAAATATAAACTCTGCACTAAAGTTTTGCAGTGGCACAATACCATCACAATACAGAAGCATTTTTTTAAACTATACAAAATTCCAAAATGGAAAATAATGTTTACATTTTCTTTATACATTAACATATAAAAGACCTCATTTCATGAGGCATCCAAAAGAATCAAAACATCTCTACAGCTATCTCTGAAAATTCAAATCTGGAAACAATTTATTACACTGAAGCTTTACAAGACTATTAAACAAACAATCCAATAACCACTTTTTACAAGATTAACATTCCAGAATACACTTGGAGGCATTTTTTAAAAACAGTTCACAACACTGGTTATCTCATTTGTTATCAAAATCTTTTTATTTATATATATTGGATATTGTTGAATAACCAGTTATCTAAGTTGAAATTTGTGCAAACAATAAAAAATGGAAAACCAATATGTTATCAGTCATTTGTATAAAATATCAATTACAGGACCTTTTGCCCTGTATGGCGGGAAAAAGCCATAGCACATATGTTCCTGGGAATTTAGCAGTTATGTTTTTCTATTCCTTCATTAGACTCCTTATATAAGTTATGATAAATTAAACATTCCAAAAAGGTATTAACTGATTTATAGAGCAGCCAGTATCCAAGTGTACAATATCTATCTATTCACTCATCTATTTTCTGTCCATATTCTGCTGCTGTTTCGTAAGGTCAGGAATACACATACTGCTTCACCACACTGTAGACTAAAGTCTGAGATGGTGACTCACAGGTACTAGAACTGTAGCTTTCAAGAACAAAGGACTGCCATACAGCCACTGATTTGTACCATTTCCTCTTCATTGTCTTCAACACATCAGTAAAGTCATCTGCATGAGTTGGGTAGAATTTACCCAAACTTTAAAAAATAAAGTTGATATATTCTTAGTTGAAATTGTATGAAAGCATATTCGTATACTTTCAGTTTAAAATAAAAAATGTAGTTACTAATAGAAGTTAGCTCTTAGCAAAACTACTGTATGTATATAACAAATGGCAAAAATCTAATGTACGCAGGCCAGTAATGCTGGTTTCTTAAGAAGCAGTACAGTTTACCTAAAATGGCCTTTTTAGAGGTTCTCTTTTCCCTTATCTCCCCGAAGTTAGGATATTTGGTGAAGCCTATGTAAAGGAAGAGGATTTCACAGAATTACATGCTGTACACTTGAAATAGACATCCT